CTCGGCAGCCCAAGAAGGCTTCGGCCTCGTCGATGAAGATCAAGACACCTACAGACACGTTGTTGGATCGGAGAGACCAACGGAACTGTCGGACCCCGTGGGGAGGCTTGGGCCCACCGAAAGAGAGCGTGGAGCTCCGTGACCGCATCACTGCCAAGGGGGCCCTAGACAATATAGATCATGCTCGTCGAACAAGGAATAGTCGCAGACGTACGACGTCACCACCGCTCATGATGGCATAGTCCATGCCCGAGCAAATCGCGAGGCGCTTGGCGACCATGGTTTTCCCCGTCCCTGGCGGGCCGTACAGCAGCAGATGGCGGTAGGGGGCCCCATGTTTTTTCTAGCACCAACGATCAACTTGAAAGATTCCCTTTGGAGTCATTTTACGGCGTTCTTTGTCGACTTGGCCAAGTCGTACAAGCGTGTTTCGAGCGCGGCGTGGACCACAACGTCCGAGAGCGGCTCTGTGCCGATGGGAGCCGCAAAGAAGCTGCGCACCCAGCCGATGAAGCCGCCACGGCGCGACGTCTCTCGGACCAGCGACGGTTTGCCGAGACTAGATGCCGCATAAATGTAAGAAATCCAAAAATTCAAAACTCCAAAAAATTCCAGTAAATCCTAAATCGTACCGTTGCTCGATGATTTGGCCACCAATGCGTATGCACTCGCGGGTGAGGTAGATGCCAAACGCCAGCGCCACAAACGAACCAATAAACTTGAGCAGTTTGTCCGAGTCCGAGAGCAAAACGAGCGCACCCGCGCCAAGGTTGTCAAACGTCGCTTGCAGCGCCGTCATGACCTTGTCCTTCTCGGCTTCAAATCTAATCAGACGATCGTCATTTCTGCCATTGTTGTGAGAGGGATGGCTCTACTGGGCATGGAGCTGCGCCATCTCAATGTCTTGGTTCATGCGCTGCTGCTTAATACGCCCCTCGACGTCAATGACGGCCTTCTCCAGGGTCGTGTTGCGCTCGAGCCACATGCGCTCCTTATCCGCTTCGAGCTGCCGCTCCTTCAAGATGGCTTCGGTCTCCCGGCGCTTGAGCTCGATGCGGGCACTGGAGGCTTCTTGCATGTCCACCTAACAATGGTGGCGTAATCAATCAAATAAATCAAAATACTTTGTCAACTGCGTACAAGTTCCTTGTTTTGGTCGCGCCGCTGCGCATCGTCAAAGCGAATGCGCTCGAGCTCGAGTGCGTTCTCGCGCTCGGCGAGGGCCACTGCGTTGGTGTGCGCCACGGCCAGTGTCTGTCGCTCTTGGTCCGCTAGCGTCCACATTGCATCCGTGCACTCTCCAAAACATTGATACATTGATAGTCATACCTTTGGCCGACACGGTGTCGAGCTCCAGCTGCGCTGTATCGCGCGTGGCCTCGGCGATCTTGCGCTGCTCGATGAGGACCGCAGAGGCTTCTTGGTCCAAATGCACTTGGAGCTTCTCGAGACCTACGAAATACGATATGCTCGTCATCGGTGCGATTCGAGCGAGGTCGCATACGGGCCGACGCGTCGTCGAGTTGCCGCTGGAGGCGCTGGGCCCCGGCCGTCGCGTCGCCTTGGCGCCGGATCAACACTTGGGTTGCGGCCACGTTGTGCATAAAGAGCGCATCTTTATCGACCGCGTGGAAGTTTTGAATCGCAATCTTCTCCTTTTCCTATACAAAGATGCACCAGGCCATCCACGTCTTATCACGCCTCGTACTTGGCTGTACACGTGGCGCTCGGGGTACACGTGGATGCCTTCGGGCAAGAGGCTGCGCAGCATCGGCGAGCCAATCACGCCGAGCTGCCGGCGCCCAGGGATGGAGTCGTACTTGAACTCAAAGTTGGTTAATTGGATCTAAATGAGAGGCGTGGGCTTGTATATGGAGGCATGGGCGCGCACCTGCGTGATGACGTGGAGCGAGTGCGTAGCATTGGCGTCCTCGACGCCCGTAAAGGCGTCGGCGTAGGCGACACTTGTGGCATTTGAGGACCGCGCGCTCCGGCCGATGGCGAGGCCATGGCTCGCGGCGGCGGAGGCGAGGACGAGCGTAGCGCAGCGCAACATGGGTCCAAGGCGACGCTTCGGCCACGTGGAATCTTACCGACTTGACGAATGTGAACGTCAATGTCATGAATGTATGTATGTAAAGATCCATCTTTGTAAAGATGGCCGAACCGTCGCCACCCACTTGGCCTCACAAAAAGCTAGGGTATCAGACAATTCTTCGCGTATGAAAACTCTCCGATTTGCGGCGCTTACAACTGTAGCTCACGATCGATAGCAAGTGAGGAGTCAATTATCATTCGTAAAGGCAGTGTGGTGGAGTCTGCCGAGCTCTCATGGAGGCGAGGAGATGGCAAAGATACCGGCAGCTTGCCACCAAGTCGCGCCCGAAAATAGTAAATTTTACACGAGCCAAATGTAGTCTTTATGAGGTCGAAGTCACGCGCAATGTCTCACCGAGGACTAGACTTGTGACAGAATTCTTCCGGTAACGTGCCTCATGGAGAATTCCAGCTCACAAACCAAGCTCGTTTTTGACCGATTTGGTGGTGGGTTGTTGTGTGCTACTCGTACTATACGGTACGGCTGCGTTGTCTCTGTGTTGGGTCGTTGCCAGCAATCGCTTGCTTGCTGGATGCTGCTGGACGGCTGCGGGCTATGTTGAGAGCGCATGTGCGTCTTCTCGCCGCCAATCACGACGAAGATAATACTAGTTTTAGATAGATAGATAGATAGATAGATAGATAGATAGATAGATAGATAGATAGATAGATAGATAGATAGATAGATACTTGCATTCATCAACACAGGTTATGCTAGTCGCAAAACCACGGTAGCTCAATGCTACCGCTGCGTTTCCGTTGTTTACCGCGGCTTGTTCCAGACCCACTTGTTGCCCGAGTACTTGACGCCGTCGCGGACGGGGCACCCGCCGTGGAGGCTCATTGGGTCGAGGGATCCATCCGGGAGCATGCTACACCAAAGGTTCTTCCTCATGCAAGAATGGTATTCGCCACATACCTGTAAAATACGATCACCTTGCCCTTCTTGGGGGCGACAAGGAGGCCTTTTGTGCAGTCGGTCATCGAGTCGGGCTGTGGACGGCCGCCGGCGCGGGGAAACGCCGTGTGGCCACCGTCCGCGACGTCCGACATGTACCAAAAGACCGTGATCATGCGGTTCTTGAAGCCTTGATGGAGGTATTCTTGAAACTCAGGGCTGTTGTCGTACATGTTGGCGTCAAAATAGTCGGTGTGGTGGTCGTATTTTTGCGTTTTTTCGTAGCGAAGCACTTGGACTGGCTCCTGGTGCGTCTTGTGCACCTTGACGAGCGCTTCGACACGGTCGTCGATCTCTACGCACAACGATATATGTCACAACTAATACAAGGTGTCTGGTGCTTGTACGCGCCAAAATCGGACTCTCGGACGACGGGAGAAAGTACTGCGAGCTCGTGCGCCACTCGGACGCGGGCTTGTCTTCGTCTCCGTCTTGGAGCTTGACCGCTACGCCCATCGAGTTATGTGCGCAAGACTGCAATGCGTACTGGAGGCGGCGAGGTATGGCAGCGCAAGCTCGACAATCGCGTCGATCTCGTCGTTGTGAAGAAATCGGTCGACCGCCAGCACGAGCGGCTGCATGGATAGTGTCTCGAGCACGACATCGCCGAGCCCTGGGAGGTCGGGTACAACCCGCCGATGTCCAACGTAGAGCCCAGGCCAGACGAACTGGCCGCCTTCAAAGAGATACACGACGTTGCTATCGAGCAGCTGGTCCATGAACGCGAGCAATTCGCCGTCGGGGGCGTAAAACTGAGGCGGCTGCTTCCACTGCAGGTCATCCACGTCCTCAAAGCTCGACCTTGGCAGCGCACGCAGGAGCTCGTGGAGATCACGCGCAGTCGTGTAGTACGAAGGGTACCCCAGGACACCGTCCTCGTACACGAGCCCTTGGATCCTAAAGGTGCACAATTTTGGACTCCTGGTCAACCATCAGGGGTACTACGTGTTGTTGGCCGTGGCTGCGAGGCAGAGGACGTGGAAGCCGCGGACGAACGTGGTGTTGGACAAGTGCGGAGCGGCGGCCGCCTTGCACGCGGATACGTTGAAGGCAGGATCAACCTCGAAATGAATCGCTGGCGCCAAGAGAGAGGCGATGAGGTGGGTGTAGTCGACAAGCGTCGGAGGCGAGATTGAGTAGAGGCCGATGGCCACAGCGACAAGCAGCGTGAGCGCGTGGGCCCGCGTGCTCATGTGGCTGTCAGTATCGATGTGGGAGTCTATGCTGCCCGCAACGTACGTTGCGAACCTTCCATACTGCGCTTCACCGTCTAAAAACGAAAGAAACGCTGCGGTGCATGCACGAGAAGGGGTTGCCGGAAATTGGGCAGCTGTGGTGCAGCTCTGTCAAGATGCGGCTGGCACTTAGTTGACCACCTTTTGTCCAGTTAGTGGATTCCTGCTCCACATGACAATTGAATGTTAGGGACAATGGCATGGCGCACGAGCTTATCATAAAGGCAATCAAGCTACGAGGGCCTCCGGACAATTTTATAAAAAGAAACGAACGACATCACCCCATATCGACAAACTTGTTTCCTGACATAGGATTCCTTCTTAACAAACAGGCATGATCAGGTTCAAGCCCATAAAGGCCTAACGTGTCGTCTGTGCAGTTCCCTTTTGCAACTCGTCAACTATTGAGCTCCACCGGCGAAATGACATGCGAGTGTATGAAAGTCCCAATGATGGTATCTTATGTCGACGTGCGTGGGTTGATCTCCAAACTGAACGAGCGGCTCAAAAAAGGGTGACCACACGCGTTGGCAATTCAATTTTTGAGCATCGATCATTGAGATTAAGTTCCGCAACCGGTGGCGACGCATGTGATTGGTCAAAATCCTTTGTTGTACGTACCGCCGATTGGCTAGAACCCAAGTGGGCGCACCAATCGGTGCGTCGCAGCGGCGCCAGTCTAAGATTTGCCGTGTGGCGAGAAGAGCAGCATGGGCAAGCTCCTCCACGCGCTGTTCGTCGTCGTCGCCTTGGCTGGCTACTACTACAGCGAGCTACTCCAGCATCATGTGCTTGCGCCCGTCGCGCGATCGCTGCAGCTGGACTCGCGGCTGCCGGCGCCATCGCCCGTCGGCCGTCCCTACGACGCCGCCGCATGCGCCGCCGCCGCGTCGGCCCACTTGACGGACGTCCTTCCAGTCCAAGGCTTCCATGTGCTCTGCATCCGCAAGACGCCACACGATACGTACGCTCTATGGGATGCATTATGGCCTCACACATCTACACAGCATGCAAGGTCTGGCGTACAAGGAAGGTCTTGCGACCGCGGCGCCGCTGCCGTTCGAGACCGCGCTCGACATGGGCGCGCTCCGCGCCGAGCTCGAGTCGGTGCTAAAGATGTCGGTTCCGTCCAGCGACATTGAAAAAAGTACAAGCAGCGCTGGGCCTTCTTCTCGCCGACGGGCGACCGCCTCTGGCAGCTCAGCCAGCTCCACGCCGCGTCGCTCGTCTATGTGTTTGAAGGCGGGCAGTTCATCTGGCCGGGTATCCACGTTGGCCACAAGCGCACCATTCCAAACCTCCACGGGCTCGGCGACGTGGTCCTCGAGACGCTCGCGATGACACCGCTCGTGTTTTCGGTCGAAGAGTTTCTACGCGACGATGAAATCGACGTGATCCTCGACCTCTCCAAGGAGCACTTGGCGCCGTCGGGTACGTTGAATCGAGGCAGAATGTCCTTTGCTATATGGCTATAAACACGCAATGAACGCGACACGTTTAGGTGTGACGCTCCAAGACGGCGATGCTGGCAAGCCCGCGACCGAGTGGCGCACGAGCACGACGTATTTTCTGCCGTCGCACCGCCACGCACTCGTCATGGGCATCGACCAGCGCGTCCAGGACCTGGTCAAAGTCCCGATCTCGCACCAAGAAGATGTCCAAGTGCTGCGCTACGAAGAGAGCCAAAAGTACGATCACCACACCGACTACTTCCCCGTCGAGAGCTACCAGAATTCGCCGGACGTGGTCGAAAGCATCCACCACGGCTTCAAGAACCGCATGATCACGGTCTTTTGGTACATGTCGGACGTCGCGGACGGCGGCCACACGATCTTCCCACGCGCCGGCGGCCTCCCGCTTCCCGACTCGATGAAGGACTGCACAAAGGGCCTCAAGGTCGCGCCCAAGAAGCGCAAAGTCATCGTCTTCTACAGGTACTTGTATCTGTCTTTTCCAAAAATGCGACTTGAGCGTTGGCTAGCATGCTCCCAAACGGCGTCAACGATCCCATGAGCCTCCACGGCGGGTGCCCTGTCCTTGACGGTATCAAGTATTCGGGCAACAAGTGGGTCTGGAACAAGCCGCGCTACTAGTCCGGAAAGCGAGAAATATGAATACAGACACTGGATCAACTTGATCGATATCCATCCAAGCATGAGTCGCGTACTTACCCTACCCCCGTGTATTCAGAGGGCTAGGGTAGGGGTCGGGCTCCTTTGCGCCCGCAAGTCCATCGATACAGCCATGCCCCATGGCCAGTGTTGTTTAAACGATTATAGCGCTCTCTCGAGTCGCGGCGCTTCCAACAAGATGTGCACAATATTGTCCTTCGAACCCATCGCCACGAAAAAGTGCATGTCGCAAAACAGAAATGGAGTTTATACAAACGAGTCAACACACGCGCAACACTTAGCAGCTCGGGCGCGGCGTCGGCGTCACAACGGGCGTGGGGGACGACGTCGTGTTCTTGCCGTTGTAGATCGTGCACTCCTTGGCGTACGTCTGGAGACCGGCGTAGAGCTCTTTGCCGCGGGCGCGGATCGTCGACGCCGGCACGACAAAGTCATCGCCAATCATCTCGACCGTCAGCGTCGGCTTGTCCAAGTTGCGGAGGCCCCAGTCGCGCGTGCCGTGGTAGACCATGTAGCCAAGGATCTCGTAGCTGCGGCCGACCTCGTAGTCGCCGCCCATGGCCGTGCCGAGGGCCTTCCCGAGCTTGAGGAGGCGCGCGTCCGTGTCCCCCGGGAGTGCGTTCTTCGTGTCACCGACCGGAATCAAAACGGCGCCAGCGTTCGAGTGCAAGTCGATCAAGCCCGCGAGCTCGCCCTTCTTGCTGAGCAGCCACGAGCCAATCGTCTTGGTCTCTGGCTCGCTCCACGGGTACGGGCCAGGGTACGTCTCGTCGGCGGGCTTGGGCGGGTTCGGGTCGTCGTACGGGCCAGGCCAGTTGCGGTTGAGGTCAACGCCGTTGGCGTTCTTGCGCTGGTAGCGGTTGCCGTTCCAGCTCATTCGGTACCCGTCGAGGTTGACGATCGGGACCGTGTAAAAGGCGTACGTTTCGAGGAGCGAGCCCGCGACCTTGCCATTGTTGATGTCGTCGAGGAGCGCCGAGATCGCATAGAGGTTGGACGACCCGGTGGCCCACTCGCGCGCGTGGATGAGCGACTGGAGGTAGATGGCCTGCGTGGCCGACGGCGACGCCGCGAGCTTGTAGCCAAACAAGGTTTGCTTGTTGTAGCTCTCGCCGACGGGAAACTTGGTAAAGACGCTTGGGTTGAGCTTGACATAGGCGTCGAGAAGCTCCGTGATCTGCGCGTCCGTGCGGAAGCAGTTGTGGAAAGCCGACTCGACGTACTTGCCCTTTGTGAGCGACGGAATGTAGTTGGCGTTGGACGTGTGGCACTTGCGGTTGACATCCGCGTCGTCCTGAATGGCCGCGATTTGCTCGGGCGTCCGCTGCTTGTCGTCGTCGGCGGCGGTGACCGTCGAGACGGCGGCGAGAAGCGCAGCGAGGCAGTAGAGCACCTTCATGGACAATTCCAAAGTGTGATGTCAATTGACTGCGTGCGAGAACATCTGAGACGACGTGGTGCTGAGAACACTCTAAGAACACCAGGTGGGCACGGCTCTGATAACCGTGGGAATGTCCTGCAGCACCGATCTTGTCGAGCATTGTAGCATCGCAGAGCGATGACGAAAAGCGGTCGGCGTGTGTGTGGTGGATACACAGAGACCTCATGCCGACGCGCTTTGCCCCAAGAAAACGCGCTCGCCATAGAGTTGGTTCAGCGCTGGAGCCTTCGACGAGTACAAACGCTGGTGCAGTGGGCTGTGCAGTGGGTGCCTGTGCGGGCTTTGGGTGCGGTATCACATAAATGGCCTCTGACTCAGACCGCCGACATATGTTTATCATGCGTGAACGCTCCAGCGTCTGGTTAAAGCTACTCGTTAGGCTCGCAGGTTAGAAGTTTACCACGCCATATTACATCACTAGATACTACGTGTTGGTTGGTTGGGTTGGTTGCAATTTACATCCAACACAGCACACGTGGCCACGAGCTGAGGTCTCGTAAGGCTGCTCAAAGGCGATTGCATCATCATTGCCCGAGCAATGCACCTTTTCTTCGCAAGCACAGTACGCATGACGCCGACAGGCCACCATCAACTTTGATCCACCACGGCCTGTACCAACGACGGGCCTGATAAGTAAATTCCATATGCTGTGCCGTGAACTCAGACGACGAGAGCGGCACGACGAGTACAGTACGGGCTTACGTTATGGAGGAAACGCAAATCCTCGGATCCCGTTGTCACTGCGGTGTGTGCACAACGACGATGACAACGGCGTATCATTCACATCGAGGACAAGCGATCGCGAGTTCGAGTCCAGCTTCATTTAAAACACCCTCTCAAATTCAGCAAATCGACACGCCCGAGAAACCCCGCGTCGTTCAGAGCATATACTTGCACCAGTACTTGTACAACACGTTTGGGTTGCGTTCGACTTGATCTTTGTTGAAATGCCCATGGATTAGCTAGCTTTAGTAGCCGACGAGCGCCTGCGTCTGCGTCTGCTTCTCGGCACGACCTTGGGTGTCTAGGCTGGTTTTCTCAACGCAACGACTCGAAACACAGCACGTTGTATTGACCTTCGGATCGTACTTTTACTCAGTACACGAATCGCTCCCTGCCCAAAAATCAGCGCCTTGGCGCGTCGTTGATGGCCGTGATATCATGTGACTTTCGCACGCACTTGGTACACCTGCGCTTCGTACGCGCGCGTCTCGAGCACACTCGCGATGGCATGCACCGCATCAAACACATCGACAAACCGCGTGTAGAGCGGCGTGAACCCAAAGCGCGCGAGGTCCGGCGCGCGAAAGTCGCCGACGACGCTGTGCTCGGCGATGAGCGCCTGGATGATCGCGTACGCGTCCTGGCCGCTGCCGCGACGGAAGCGCAAGCTCACTTGGCTGCCCCGGCGCGCATCCTCGATGGGCGTCACGACCTCGAACGCATCGCCACAGCGCTCGGTGATGCAGTCGATGAAGAGGCGGGTGAGCGCCAGCGACTTTTGCCGAAGGGCTAGCATGCCGCCGAGAGGCGCTGCGGCGAGGACTGTATCGACGCCGCACTCGAGCGCCGCGAGGCTGAGCACGGGCGGTGTGCCCGCCACGTAGCGCTGGATGCCGCGCGCTGGCGTGTACGAACTTTCAAACGCGAACGGAGTGTCGTGGCCGAGCCAGCCTTGCAGCGGCTGCGACACGGCGTTGACGTGCCGAGGGTGCGCCCACACAAACGACGGCGCACCGGGGCCGCCATTGAGGTACTTGTAGCCGCACCCAATGGCAAAGTCCGCGTTGCAACCGAGCAAGTCGACGACGTGGGCGCCCGCCGAGTGCGCGAGGTCCCAGACCATGAGCGCGCCAGCGCCATGGGCCACCGACGTGAATTGGTGCATGTCGAGGAGCTCGCCTGTCCGGTAGCTCACGGGCGTGAGGAGGACAATGGCCGTGTGGGGCCCAATCGCAGTAAGGAGGTCGGACGTGGGTACCAGCTGAAGCTCGAGGTTCCACGTCTTGGCCAAGCCTTCCGCAACGTAGAGATCGCTCGGAAACATGCTCGCATCCGACAAGATCGTCGTCTTGGTCGCATCGGCGCGCTGCAATGCAAGCGCGACGCTAAGCACCTTGTAGAGGTTGATCGACGTCGAGTCGGCAACAACCACTTGACCTGGCGACGCGCCGATGAGCGATCCGATCTTGTCGCCAATGCGGTTAGGCAAGTCCATCCAGCCAGCGCGGTTCCAGCTGCGGATGAGGTCCCGTGCCCCCACTCGTCGGCGATGACCGCCTGGAGGCGACCGGCCGTGGCCGTCGGCAAGACGCCGAGCGAGTTGCCGTCGAGGTAGATCTGGTTGGGCGGAAGCGAGAAGAGGTCGCGGAGCGGCGCGAGCTTGTCGGACGCGTCGAGCGCGATGCAGTCGCTGCGGGCTATGGTAGTCGTCGCTGCTGTCATGGCGTTTGGAAGGTGCAGTTAGTCATCCATGCCGATTGGCTCGGCCATCGATTGCAGTCTTTGATTGGCTCGAAAAGTTGCGTCTTTCCAGCTTCAAGCAGATCTGATCGTCGGTGGAACAAACCTGCGCCAGCCCAACGAGGTCGCCCTCCTGCAGGCTGACTGTGGGTTGGACGTCTCGCAAAGCACTGAACGGTATCGATCTCTGAACAATATAATGAGTAGGTTGTTGAATCCTGCTTCACGACGTATGACGATGTACGATTCAGCGGGTTGAGCGACACGGTATCGGCAACGACAGGCCCGGTCTCTCGACGTTTCGCGTTCTGTGCTTCTTTACACGTCGACTGGACAGGGCGGTTTTATCCATCGGTACCGGTAGTTGTAGAAGGGACAAAAGCTCAAGTTAAAGGTGAGTCGAGGTGCATTTCAAGTGTACATATTATTATCAAACTAGAGTATAAATTAAGGCCCTTTGCTCATGCGCGGGCCGCTGCACGCAGCGAGGGGTGATGCGTGGCATGTGTCGCCTTCTCGAACGAGTACATCATCGCGACGGGCGGCGCGTTGTGGTTGACGCTATGTGCGGTTTTGCCGAGGATTGAGACACCTCGTATCTGCACGAGCGGCGCTTCTGTCGAAAGCGAGTCGCCTTGGGCCACGCTCTTGAAGGAGCCCGCGACGCCGACGCCACTCGACTCGAAGCGTACACCCCGGGGCAAGACGATGCGCACGCCGCCGAGGATTGCATAGACCTTGATGGTTGTCGTCGGATACACGAATGTTGCGTGCGAGAGGTCAATGGTCTCGCCCCGCAGGATGGCGACAATGACCAGCGTGGCTGGCACAAAAAATGGAGACGTCGTCGGCGTCTTGGCGCCGGTATGGAGGACGTGGATGCTGCGCGCCGAGACGTGGCTCTGCTGGCGCGTAAGCACGGCGCTACTGTCGCCCATCATGTACCGTGCGTGGGGCTTCGTCATCGTTTTCTGTTGATTGAATGTCGAGTGTGTCGTGGCAGTCAAAATGCTGAGTGACCGAAAGGTCGCGACACCAGACCTGGTTGAAGTTGCACCAGTATCATCTGCGACATGTTGGGACAAAGACCAGAGAGCATTTGGATACACTTGATATTTGTAAGCTGTGGTGGGGCAATGTGCCCACATACAGGGATAAACCGGGACAAACCGACATTTCTTCCATCGAGAACGTGCTTCTCGAAGACGGGACGTTCCTCACGCAAAACAACGCGCCGCTCATCCGGTCTACTGCTGCTACGACCACGACGAGCTCTTTTGAACGCCTGTAGCCATCGGATGCTGGCGTGCGAGAAAAGCTGGTCCGAAGCCTGGTGCAGCGGCGACCGTGCCGTATCTGAAACCCATCTCGCAACAGCCACGTCCATCTTTTTCACCTCGTATGCAGTAGACAACGTTGTCGCCAATGTGATGTAGCACACGTTGTCCGAGCTTACTACAGTACAATGAGCAACAGGGTTTTTGGCGCAAGTCTAGAACTCTAGCCCAGACGACGACGTGTGTGCGAAAGCTTTTCATGCGCTCGAGAACACAACACTGAGAACACAAGGTCCTTCTGCAATGTGCATCGCGGAATCTTGACCGCTGGCGACCGCACCAGCCGGTTCCGCACCTGATCCGGGTGCGTGTTGCTCGTTTCTTTTTTAATGTTATCTAAAATGCTTGCTTCTAAAAAAACAAAAACTCTATCCATGAATACTTTTGTGTGAAATAAACACCTCTACATTTGTATTGAATAGATTATTTTAGAATAAAGACACGACGCGATACACTTTCGCAGGTTGCACTGCGCGATCCGCTGGCATGAGCTCGGCGCATCCGTTCTTGGCGGCCTTGGCGGCCCACTGTGACGCGCTCGTCAACGAATGCATGCGGCAGACGAGCGACGCCGACGGCCTCAAGTGCCTCGTGTGCGTACCGCAAAGCCTCTCGCTGCTGACGGCGGCGGTCTCGCTTTCGCAGCTGCAGACGCACTTTCTGCTGCCGGACGCGCAGGTCGGCCAGTACCGCAGCCTCAACGGTGCCATTGGATCGCGTCGCCTTGGCTCATAGCTGGTGACTAGGCAAGCAGATCGCTGTCGTTGGTGCCCACATCCACACCAAAGCTGGCTTTCGCGACGCCCGCGTCGTCCGCATCCTCATGACGGAAGAGTGGCCGCACCACGCGCTGCAGGTAATACATATACTGTCTACCAGCACACCAAGGTGCGATCTTGCGATGCAGATGAGCCTCGTGCACATCAACCGGCCGCTCGAAGGCGGCGTCGCCGTGCCGGACGAGATGGGCGAGATGGACGCCATGACCTATCGCCGGTACATAGCCATCATGCGCGCGTACCCCGAGTCCGAGTCTGTCTTTGCGTCGCTCGACTACTTTGTCCAGCAAGTGCAGCGACTGCCGCCGTCCCGTACGCGCTATATCTGCAGTATCAATGTATCGACTGGATGGCGTGCATGTAGATCCGGCGTTTGGTCCCGAAAGCCTTCTCCGCGTCTGGCAACAGAGCACCGCGCTGCTATTGGAAAGCGGCACACTCGACCTTGGCCCGCGCACGCACCAGCGCTCGCTGCAGCTGGACCAAGCGGTCGAGTCGTACTTGCTCGAGAAAGTCCATGCGACGATTTTAGCGCGACTGGAAGCATGGTCCTTTCTCGCAATCGTCTCTGCACCAATGCTTTTGTGTCTTTTGTGTAGCTGTGCGTCCGACCAAGCCAAGCTCGAAGCCGCGTGGCTCGCTTTACGGTTCGCGACGCCGTCGACGTTCAAGATCCGACGCGAATTCCAGGTGGGACGAGCGGCTTGTCGTCGTCTGCAATGAATGGACGAATGGACGAATGGATCGGTAGTGTCAACACACGGAAGCCATCGCACTGCTGCTCGCCGCGTACACGCAAACCACGCCGCTCGGTATGCTACTGCAGCTCAAGCGCGTGCTCCAGTCGGTTCAAGACGCGATTCATGCGCGGCTCATGCGGCACAAGTGGCCGCTTGGTATGCGATCCGACGGTGTGTGAATCAATGTATCGAGATGGCCCCAGGCGCGTTCCACTTGAGCACGGACGACGTCTTGGACCAGCTCCTTTACATTCTTGTCCGCGCCGGCAACACCTCCGGTCGTCTGCCGTTGGTCGCCATGCTGCAGTACATGGAGCAGTACCACTTTGTGCCGGCGACCGTCTCGGCCATTGGGTGCCTCCATTGTTCGTGCTCGATGTGATCTTGATACATTGATATATAGTTTCACGATGGCCAACTTTCAAGTGGCGCTCGAGTGGCTCCTGACAACGACGATGACGACATCCAACGAGATGGTAGAGACGGCGCTCCCAGAGCTGCCAGAGGTGCGCCACGCGACGGCTACCTCCGATGACGCGCCGACCGTGCTGCACGTGACGGGCCGCGTCGATCCGATATGCGTCGAAGGCGCTGTGTACCACGTAGCCGTCGGCCATCGGTGCTTTGCTACCGTTTCAGGTATCTCGATGGCTATGTACCTCTTCTGCTGCTAAAGTGGTTAGACTCTGGCGCCGTCGCGACGTGGGGCGATGCATATGGCGGACGGCTCGGGTACCCGCAAGCGATCAACCACGTCGAGGCACCGCAGTGCGTCGTCGGCGCGACCAAAGTGTTGCAGGTGCACAGCCTTTTCGCGACTCGATCCGAGTCGATTTATGGTGTAGGTGGCGTGCGGCGCTTTTCATATGCTGAGTTGCGACATCAATGGCCATGTCTTTGCCTGGGGTTTTTATGCCGACACCACTGGCCTTTTGTCTCATGTTGACATGTATATGCAGGAACCAACGCAGTCGGGCAGCTCGGTCTCCCGAGCTCAACAATGCTTCTGAGCATCACGCCGCGTCGCGTGCAAGGTAGTCTCGATATCGCTGGTCGAAGACGCCACGCTGAGCTGCGAAAGGAGGACTGCAAGGCGCCTACATCAGTGCCGTCGCGTGCGGCGACGCGCACTCGCTCGCCATGTCGTCGCAAGGCGCGGTCTTCTCGTGGGGCTGCAATCGTTTCTTCCAGCTCGGGCGCGAAACCACAGTCGCGAACGACGCTGCCTCGGTAGGTGCCTCTGCTCGACGGGGTCTCGACAAGCTCGTAGCGTCCAAGCATCGTTGCAAGCACGTGGTCGGCCGAAAAGAACGCGGAAGCAAACGCCCTGAGCTCCAGATTGTTGCCACCAAAACTCTCTGACGAGACGACAGAACCAGGTGCTGCACTGCGCATCGCGGCGGGCGCCCATCACTCGATGGTCATTGCACGGGTAGTACTATACCTTGAAACGCCTTCTCCCAACACTCGTTCAGTCCACGCTGCGTAGGACGGAACGCTCTTTGCGTGGGGCTGCGGCAGCGACGGTCGGCTCGGGCTCGGGTCCGAAATGGATGTGTCGTCGCCGTTGCGCGTACGATTTGCCACTCGACGGACTGCAAACCGTTTCAACCATGGGGCTAGGTAACGCTACCAGCGGACGCAAAGCCTGTGGACGTGGGCGGTGGCGCGGCGTATACGTGTGTGCTGCTCAAGTCGGGCCAGGTCCTCGCGGCGGGCCTTGTGTGTCCCGATGTGCCCAACGTACAGCACTGGCTCACGCACATTCCAGTGCCAGCGGCCGTGCGAACGATGGCGTGTGGGGCCAACCACATTGTGTGGACGGCGGCCGACGGTAGCGTCTGGGTACACGCGTTGTCACGCTTGTTGGCAAACTCAATTGCCGTCCTAGGGCTGGGGAAGCAACGTCCATGGGCAGTGCGATCTCATGGGCAACGTGACCGGCGCGACAAGACTCGATGAGCCTCGTGTTATCGCGGCCGCGGACGAGACGGTCACATTGCTGCAAGTGGCCGCAGGCGCGTCGCACACGGTCGTTGTGACGCAAGCGACGACGACGACGACAGGATGAAATGTAGTGGTCAATCAGTGCGCTTGAACGACGGTGACGCCGAGGTGTTGAGATTTCAGATGCACACGGATCAAGGTCATTTGTGATACTAGTACACCGCAGTGGAGGTGACCATGCGACGGCGTGCTACTGTCTTTTGGCGTGTAGACCGTACATGTAGAAAGGGTGGACTACGCGCATTCGTTGGCAGACATCGAGTGTCTTCCACAGCGATTTGAACAAAGTGGGAAAAGCCACTGAATACGACGCGCGATCCTTGGTGTTGGTTGGGTTGGTCGGGCTGTGTCGTGAACCATAGGAGTTGTTGCAGCTGGTTCACAAATTGGAAGACCGCAATCGATGCCACGTCGTATTGGTGATATTGATGCTGCGGGTCTATGGAATGTACCGTCGACGGCAACGAGGGTGGCCGAGCCAAGCGACAACGTCCCACCTCGCCAACACGGTCAAACGATCTCTGTGTTGCGCCACATCCCCGCGGTCGCCCTTTGGATGGTTGACGTATTACGACGTTGCAAGACCACAGGCTGGCTTGCTTTTCGCTCGGAACGCTGCGGTGGCTGACTAGGATAGATACCTGAAAATGCACATTTCCCCCTTTGATGCATTGGCGCTTCAACAGACAGGGCGAGTAATCCACCGTATTCAGCTGCAGAACGCATCGTGGCACGCGAAAATCCGAAATCACGAATATTGTCTTTTCAATCGTTTCCCACTGACCAGCCATTGCGCGTTTTCAATTGAGATGCCGTATTGGCACATCCAAGGGTTCAGAAGCTTTTGATGGACCCTTGCACATCTCTACAAAGCCAAGATGAGGTTGCAGTGCTTTGCAATGACGCGCGTAGCATATGTCGGGGCATACCTTGCGGAAGCCTAGAGTAGCTGGCAATTCCATGCAGCTTGGGTTGCCGCTGCAAGATGGAATGGATTTCGTCCTTGGTACTCCCGGTACTGTACTTGGATGTCGACTCGTTCCCGCGCCTCGTTGCCTCGATGCATCGATGGACATGGCCCCGTAAAGGGTCGTGCAACCTAGGTTTGTTTATCAAACATTCGAACTAGAGGGTTCGAGCGTCGTGGCATGCGTGGTCGTTTCGATGACGGAACATATAATGCACCCACGGCATGGACGTAAGCGCTCTCTTGACCGTCCGTCAAGTCTTGCGTAGAGCCCTTGGACTTAAAAGCTCAGACCTAGTAGTCGACCATAAGTGGTATACAATCGGTGAAATCTCTCGTTCTTGAACGCATCGCCTCTGGTTGCGGCTTGGGTGTAGGTGTAGAAAGCGTCGTTGCTTGCACTGCAGCAGGCTAAATAGTAGTATTTGTTTGCCTTGTCGTCTGCCCGCCAACGTCGTTGCACCAGGTATCTGGGATCGCGACCATAGTTGTTGTGAGGTCTTTCGACAGATCGTGGGACAAAGCTCCTAGCGGTGGCAAGAACCGGGTCGTCCCACCTTTGCCCGTTCTTGCGCGTGGTGTCTGGTCGACTCGCTATGATCGAGTAACAGTCACCACTTTGCGAGTGTTCATGGCGCGCGTTTGGGTGCGACAACGTGTACATACCTCGCTCGATACGTGTCAATGTTGTCTTGCGTGGTGACGTCATCGCGTCGTCCGTGGGTTGCGACGGACCATCGACGCAGCCGGACGGTACAATGCGCATCCGAGCACACAATGGGCACGATGTACCTTTGATGATAGTAGATATAGGGGTATCCTATCAGCTGCGACGTTCGAAAGGCCGTAAAAAAAAGAGCCATCGTCGCATCGCGGACGCCGCTTCAATGGGTATCGCCCCCGACGCAGTACGAGTCAAGCCTCGGTCTACAGTAGTCAATTTGTGGTCGCCGTGTCGCTCCCGACTCGTGGGAGCTACGGCATGTGCGAGCTTGGAGGGGGTGATAACAATTGTCACGCGTTGTACTATCCAAATGCACGCAAGGAGTACCGTAGTCGTCGGACCATTAGCGACGGTCTCTTGCCATTGCTGCGACAGGCCAGGACGGTCGAATTCGAAACGCCATCGCTTGAAATGTTGTCGTCGTTCTTGTTCAGAAATAGCTAACCCATTCCAGGCATTTAACGACTCAGTCTACGCGGCGTCGGACGAACACAGCGTCGCCACAACCGACGATCGGTGCCGACGCCGACTCCCAAACGACCGCCCGTCGTTCGGCGACGGCCGCGACGACAAGCGACGGGTCGAGGCGGCCGTCGATGCAGTACCACTTGAAGCTGCAGCAGAGGTTGCCGTCGCGCACGCTGAGCTGGAGTTGTAGGCGCGAGCTGCACGCCGCGAGCAAGTGGTACCGGTAGCACTCGAGGTAAATGTCGCCGGCACTGGTGACGTGGCCGACGTAATCGCCGTCTACAATATCAAGGTATCGATTTATCAAGTCGTGGCATCATCATCTATCACGCACCGAGTACGACACCTGTCCCACCCATCGTGGATTCCCCGTTCGGGAACGTGCGCAGAAGGCGCGGCGCATTGTCGAGCAGAAAGACCGCGGGTGCACTCGCATACAGTTGCCAGTCGGACGTCACCTGATAAATAAGAGTGATAGTTGCTGCATATCAGCGCTTATTCACTCGTACGTGCAACGTCATGCCACGGTGCTCCAAGCGGCAGCCGTAGAGCCACGTCGCCCAGCGCGTGGCTTCCCACAGCGAGAACGTAGCGCCCGATGCGAGCTCGATGCTGGAGGCGTCTGGATCGAACATCCAACGGCCCGAGAGGGCCGACTCGTTCGCACGCAGCGGTCCCCACGGCGAACTCAGCGCACTCTACACCCATGAGTTTTATGTTTTTTCAAATATTTTTGGAGGCTCACCAAGGAGACTTCACGGAAATGGGCCACGACCGAGCGGTACCCGAACCGGCCTTCAATGCCAATCTGCGCTTGCACGGCCGCGTCCATCGCCGGGTGCTTTTGACGCACGAGCGACGCCAGAAGCGACAGCGTCGTGTCGAAGGCGCGCGTCAAAAAATCATTGGCGAGCGTGTGCAGCAGCTCGACGCCGTCACTGTAGGCTTGACGCAGTGTCGCTTTGGCGAGCACACACGCTTCGTGCGTCGTGATATAGGCGCGGAGCTGCGTCACATGCGCTGGCTCGAGCAAGTGCGCTAGGAGCGCGGCCGCCATCTCGTGCTCGTCCGAGACCTATCCATACATAATGCACTCGAACGCTCGGACCCAACACAATGCTATAACGGTTCGAACCGGTGTGCCATGGCACCGCGCCACGCAGTCGAATGGAGCAGGCGGCGACCCGTCGCCGAGGAGATGGCCGACCAGCGCAGCCTCGGCCGCCGCGTTTGACGGCTCGATCGTATCCAAAAAATAGCTCACGAGTCCGAGGTCGCTGGCCATGGTGCGGATCGGCGCCGGCACCAACAACAACGACGACGACGGCCAGGACGATGGTGCCATGGGGGGCGCGCCACCCCCGCGGTTACGGTACGTGGCCACCGTAAAGCCGGGCGATGTGACTTTGGCGATGAGATGCCAGGCCACGCTGCCGCTTGCCAACAAGACGACTTCAAACAGAAAGCCCTGCATCCGATGAATAGAAGCATCACGAAGGGATAGCAATCGAGAAGGTACCGTGGCGGCGTGGAGGCGGTCTCGGACGCTTTGGCTGCGGCCACTCTTCCACCCGTACGTCCAGCCATCGACCAAGCTATGGTTGAACGAGCTCCCGAGCGCGTTCTATCGTATGCATCGGAGACGGTTCGCCTCAAGTAAAGACTACGTTCTCGAGAGCTTCTTCCATGCCAGGGTACCACGTGGCGCCGTCGTCATCGTCGCCTTCGCGGCCATCTTGGGGCGGCAATATCGCGCCCAGCGCCCAGCTCTCGTGGTCTGTTGGCGCAATCTTGAGCAGCGATGCATACGTCCTTGGCGTCGGCGTCGGCGCAAGCGTCGTGCGCAGCTGCAATGGCATGCCACAGTACCGGTTGGCGACGTGGCACGGGCAGCAATGCGGAAAGCACCTAGAGCATAGAGCCGCGCTAGGGCCGTGCCATCGCGACAGGCGGGCGTACCGCATGACCTACGTAGCGTCCATGAGCTGGAGCGCCCTGCCGCGGCCAGCGTCGTACCTTGACCTTGCGCGCCCGCTGGTACCTAGCCATGGCGCGTGAGGCGAGTGGGCGAGAGCGAGCATGCTACCGCGTGTACTGCGCCTGGAAGATGGTCTCGTGGCTGCAAAAGTTGACGTGGAAGGCGCTCGACGCGACGCCCGGCGCGAGGTCGACCGACATGTCTTCTTTTGTGTTAAAAAAACATGAAAAATGTTGGCCCCCCACGGGTGCAATCCAAAACCATTTGATTACGAGACCACGCGACAGGATGAGGGCCCTGGCCCTGGTCCCTCAAAAGGTTCCTGTGATAGAGTGAGGTCCAATAAACGTGTCGTGAAAGAGAGGGCTGGCAACATCAAGGGGGTCGGTCTACTACTAGTACAAGATATCGAACTATCGCAATTGGGTGGCCTCGACTGCGCCACGTGGAGCAGAGATATTTCGAATCCAGGCTTGGGTGGAAACGACGACGTCATCGAGGGAAACGTCGACAGCTATCGCTCCGCTAGTAGCCAGAGCCACAACGTCGATGAGTCCTTGTGAATGTTGCCACCTCCATGCTGTCTTCACTACTAGTAGTCGCGTGCCCTCATCCGCAGCAAGGTGACTAGAGACCCGTTTGAGATACCGACTTTAATCACGCACCGCTAAGGACGCAACCAGCGCCGCGCAGAACCCGTTGATCCCGGCTCTGTGTCGTGCTCCGAACCACATTTCGGTAACCGGTTCGTCAAGGACGCCGTGCCACGAGCCTCTTAACAGCCGCCGGCGTATTCGTATGCCTCGTATGTTTGCTCCCGCCGATGCTCCAAAACCCACCTGGGCGTAGCCGGCGGTGGTCCTAGCCTCCAGAGTCCTCTCTGGGCGGTTCCAAGCCAGGACGCACGTCTCTCTTGGCTCGCAGCGACGGGTGGACCTCTGCCTCTGAACTCGCCACCGAGCCACTAATAACGTAACCAACGAGGTGACATTGGTTTCGGTAGGTTTCTGAGGAGGCGATTTGGTCCCGATAGAAAGCAAGACGATCGCCATGACATCATTCCCCGCGTGTATAGCAACACGCGTGGACGAGGGATGCTCGAGCGCCACGGTGGAGCTCGTGCTCGTAGCTACGTGCGTGCTTTGAACGAGTTGACCACTTCGTCCTCGCGGCTACAGCTCAACGACACCTGGGGCCGCCCTTGCATCGTGGTAGATGAGCTCGCCGTGCATGACGTCTTCGATTTGCGCAGAGTGCCAAAGCGCCGTGCGGTCGCGGGCCGTCATGTACAAGACGCTGTCGTCGATCGCAGAGAGGACCACGCGCTGCGACTGCAGGTGCACCACAAGCTCGCGCTCGTCGGACACCCGCAGACAAAAGGTGACGCGGTGGCCTTCGTTGGCTGCCAGGTTGTACCGATAGCACGTCAAGTGAACGACGCCGCCGGACGTGGTGCCCACATAATCGCCGTCTATAGTACCCATGAGCCGCCATTCGCTTCGAGACGGAGTACCTAGCGTGCGACCGTCACTGGCCATGCTGGACTCGCCATTCGGAAGCGTCCGAAGCACGCGCGGGTGGTTGTCCAAGATAAAGTGGCTTGGTGACGACGGGTACAGCTTCCACTTGGACTGCACCTACGCAGGTTGGCGTCAATAGGGACTTGCATGCGTCACCGTACGAGCAGCTCGTGTTCGCCGTGGATGACGTGGCAAGCGGAGAGAAGTGTTGCATAATGCGCGGCGGCGGTCACGGAAACGGCCAGTTGTGGCGCCAAATGACTTTTGGCCACGCACACGACCCAGTCGCCGGAGAGCGCACTGCCCGTTGGTTTTCGTACGGGCTCCCGCGTCGCGCTCTAACCCACGCGCATAAGCAAGCGAATGCAGATAAAAGGCTCGCGTACAAGCGCCACTTCGCGGAAATGGGCAACGAGAGCGTGGAACTTGAAGTACCCTTCGCGCTGCAAGTGGCCTTCGAGCACGCCTTCTAGGAACGGACAGTGATGGGCGATCGTCTTGGCCAAGTCGCCCGTGGAGGTGGCCGCGTCCGTCTTGAAAAACGACTCGGAAATCCGGTAGAGCAGATGGACACAGTCGTTGTAGGCGGCCGTGAGCTCGGCCTTGTCACAAACGCAGTCGCGATGGGCCATGACGACGGCTTCGTACTGCCCCATGTTGTGCGGGTGGAAGAGGTGGACGAGCCACGACGAGGCAAGCGCTCGAAGGGGCTGCAGCGCCGGCGACGAAGGCAGCTCGTCTCTCAACGTCTACACGTCCTTTGAACTCGAATGCCGAAGCGCAGAAGAGGTGTCTACCGTGTTCAACAGTGCAGACATGTCTTCACGTGTCGGCGGACGGCCTGAAATGTGCTGAAAGAGCCGACTTGACCACTCCGAAGCGGTGCATTCGATCGGTGTCAACTGCAGAAAGAGCAGAAGGATGCCCAAGTGGTTGGCCATGATTTGAGTCCGGGACGAGACATGGCGAGGCGACTCGGGGGCAATGACGTGCTTGGACGAGTGCGAAAGCAAGTGGGACGTCGACACCATCGGTGCTGCCAGCGACAGCGTCTCTGTCGCCGCCGCCTTGGTCGTGTTCCGATACGTTTCGATCTTGAACCCTGGCGAGAGCACCTTGGCCACGACCCGCCACGCGGTAGATGAGACTTCAAAGATGTACACCTGCCCATGATGGTATGCATGTCGTCGTCATTTAGAGCAGCAGCGTACCTTGACGTGGTGTTGGCAGTCGCGCACGGCTTGACTGCGACCGCTCGCCCAGCCATACGTCCAGCCCGCGACGAGGTCTTGGTTGAAGACACTCGTTAAAACGTTCTAGGCAGTGCAATGTGTCCACGCAATAGCAAAAGGAGTCGCGTCGTACTTGTTCCTCGAGTTTCTGACGCCCGACATACCATGACGCCCCCGCGTCACGCGTGAGGCGATCGACGTCGACGGGTTCGATGACGTCATTGACAGCCCACTCGGGCTCGAGCGACGGTGCGAAATGCAGCAGTGAGACGTACGCAGTCGCTGGCTTGGGCGCATGCGGCATCTCTGTATGAACCGTGATTGGCGTTCCGCAGTACCGGTAGTAGACGTGCCGCGGACAGCAGTGGGGAAAGCACCTAACAGGACGTCACTTGGAACCCGCGCCGCCGCTGCATTTTCTCGCCGTACCGGAGCACCTAGCAATGGCAGCCAGTCAACCATCAAGGTCGGCGGGGGATGCATGTACCTTGACTTTGCCAGCTTTTTGGACCTATAGGTAACCATGAGAGAAGAGCACAACATAAGTGCTGCCCACCGCGTGTACTTGGGCTGGAAGATGGTATCGTGGCTGCAGTAGCTCACGTGGAAGCGGCACGAGACCGCGCACTCGGTCATGATAGCGTCGAATTGCACAGTATGGGTTTCGAGGTTGATCATTGATACGTTTCAGTCAAAACCGTTCCTTTAAGATATATCGAACATAACCACGAGACGTACGACCCAAAAACTTTAGCGAGTACCGAGACCTTTTCTGGGCCCCACCTGAGACGACGAGGGAAGCAAGGGTGGGGTGCGTCTTGACTGGGGCTACAAGTAGATGGGGTGACCGTCGGTGGACCACAGTGGTGGTTATGATGCCACCGGCTGAGAAGTCAAAATCTGGAACGTTAGAGCGCTATACTCAAAGCGAGATCACGCAATCTCGGTCGAACGATGGGTGCGTTTCGTGTCGGTGCCCTGTGATGGATGTGGCGTCGGTTGCAAGCGCGGTGAGTCTAAAGTCACGCACCTTGGTTCGGGCTCCTCCCGTCTCATGTCGCTCGAGTGCATTCGGTTGGCCTGTCACGTCACTCGAGTGGATCTGTGCTGCACTGCAGTGCAGTAGTTCCATGCACTGGCTGGGCTCGTGTGGACCGTGGTCGTGTAAAATCCGTCAACGCGAAGGCAACTTCAAGTTGCGTGATACTAGATAACGTGGGTGCGGTGACTCACTCGAGGGGTCGCCGAAATCCTTTAAAACGACGCTTACCAGTAGTACGCTCTCGGTGGACTGTACTTGCGCCAACTTGAGACGTGCTGCAACGGACAAGCATCATCCCAAGCTCTTTGTATCTGAAAGTTGCGGCATACGGACGGTCGGCGGCAGCGAGACGCAGGTTGTCAAGGTCCTGCCATAGCCAAGGGAATAATATTGGCCACAGCAATCTATAATGTTTTGGACTGCGTTCTATGGCAAGCAAGAAATACTCTACGACGACGAGCACGTCTAGTTCCTATTGCACTGCGGCATTATTCTGGTACGCGCGTCAGCTCGAGATCAAAGGCGGCCGCGGGTGCGCGGGACCACGCGTCCAGCTCCTCGACGCGACTTTCCGTTTTGAGATCAAAGAGCTCCTGGATCCTGGCGTCCGGTGCATCGATGGCCCCGCCCACTTCAACGGTCGCCGAGACAAAAAGCATGTCCTTTTCCGTGACGTGCAGGTGCACCTTGGCCACCAAAACACGCCACCCCGCCGCGCTCGTAGCCGTAGAGGGTTAGGTGTATGACGCCCGACGGGGCCACATGGCCACGGTAGTCGACTGCGATCGTCCCCAAGCACGACTCGCCGTCCGGTAAAACCCGAGGCTGCCCAAGCGTCCGTCCAAGACAAAGCTCGATGGGACGCGGTGAACCGCGGCGTCACGGCACGGATCTAGTAGCATCGAGAGACCGTCGAGTGCTTTCATTTTCTATGCACGTTTCATCGCGTACCAAGAGCGTTGGCGCGTCGAGCCGGGCA